GTGGGATAAATCTTTTAAATAAAACTTTGAATCATATTTTCCCCAGTTGAGCACTGATCCTTTAAGATTCTTGGCTTAGGATAATAAATGCAAATTCAGAACTATGAAAACTAAGTAACTTTCCACAAATTACAGAATCTTTGTAACTTACCTGCTTAGGCCCTAATGTTGGACTGAGCCAAGACAGTGTCCCAAACAGTTGGCATTCACCTGGGATTCTGGCATGGACTTACTCATGGACTTACAAGTTGTAGGAGCTGCATCCTAGTTGGCTACAGCAGGATAGTGTAGCTAGAGCCTTGGAAAGAGCACAGAAAGGAGAAGGAATCAAAAAGTAATGACCACAGTTTTGGTTGTCTCTCATATGAGTAACCATGCCTTTTGAGCTTCCCTGGTTGACTCTATGTTATGGTTAGCCAGCTCCTGCCTTCTAGCCAGCCATCTTGATCCCAAAGCTACAACAGACATATGCTAAAGGGAGAAATCTGGAAATCACAGAACTCTAAAAAAGTTGTTGTTGTTGTTTAGTTGTTTAATCGTGTCTGACTCTTGGTGACCCCATGGAACAGAGCACGCTAGGCACTCCTGTCTTCCACTGCCTCCCGCAGTTTGGTCAAACTCATGCTGGTAGCTTCGAGAACACTGTCCAACCATCTCGTCCTCTGTCGTCCCCTTCTCCTTGTGCCCTCAATCTTCCCAACATCAGGGTCTTTCCCAGGGAGTCTTCTCTTCTCATGAGGTGGCCAAAGTATTGGAGCCTCAGTTTCAGGATCTGTCCTTCCAGGGAGCACTCAGGGCTGATTTCCTTAAGAATGGATAGGTTTGATCTTCTTGCAGTCCATGGGACTCTCAAGAGTCTCTTCCAGCACCATAATTCAAAAGCATCAATTCTTTGGCGATGGTCCATAAAGCCTTCTTTATGGTCCAGCTCTCACTTCCATACATCACTACTGGGAAAACCATAGCTTTAACTATACAGACCTTTGTTGACATGGTGATGTCAGAGACCTCAACTTAAAAAAAAAACCTAGCAGCTTACTTGTAATTGGATATCTACTTCCAGAAACCCCGTGGCTAGAAAATGTGAAACCAATGAATTGCAACCCTTACAGTGACACATAAAAGCTGTGTCATAATAAAACAACTGAATAAAAGAGTAAATTAAGAAGCTATGCTGTATTACTAAAACCTGCACATTTTCATTAGGTTGCAGGTGCTGAGGAACTTAGAACAACAAAATTGAAAAATGCAAAGGTAAACAATTTCATGAATCTTCATTAATTGTATGGGTTCTGTCTAACTACAGAAGTGAGTATGCATGTTGGATTAGGACATTTCAGTGAATTAAGAGCTGGAGTTCGCAGTGTGCCCTGTGAATTTCACCAGAGGGAGAAGCTCTCCTTCCAATAATGATTAAATCCAACTGCTGTGGCAAGAATTTATGTCCTCGTCTTGATTTTGGCCCTGAGACATGCTAGTTTTAGAGGTGTGCTGTTTTGAAGCCCACGTTTTTCACCCATGATTGCTTTGGAGTGGGAAGGCTAGATTTCTGCTTCCGAGGTGGCTGTTAGAGGGAGAATATTTGGAATCATGAGACAGGACACCAGAGGGCATGTTGTCTCTGTGGCTAATTGTATTGACTGAAATGTGTTCAGTCAACATATTTAATCAACCTGATCAGGTGTAGTGCTTGTGTACTGCCATCTGCAACTGAACATTCCCCAGGATAAGAAGCAAATCTGCATTCAGTACTCATTGCTGGAGCCAGTTTGTGAAAGGTGTGTGTGTCTTAGACCAAAATGCATAGCTTTCATACAACTCCTGGCTCTCTTCCTGCCATTTTGGATGTTCAAGAGCATTATATTCACTATTTTATGTGATCAAGAGCCCAAATAGATTGGTATGCCTTATATGAGAAAATGAATTTATTTCAATTGTTTTGTTCTCTTGCTATAGCTTTTCTAAAAGCAGACATTAGTTTTGGTGGACAATTTTTTAAAAATAAAACCACTGGCATTAATGCCATTGTATTCATATTGGCAGGTATTGATTTTATATAATGAATGTTCTGTCTTCTTATACCAATTAATCAATTGGATTTCCTTTCAATAAACATCACTTGTCCCCCTGTACATTAATTGTATTTATTTATTCTGTCACTCATTGTACTTAGTATAGCAGGATCATGTGTACAAAAGATATCCACTTTATACTTTGTAGAGTGCAGGTGTACAAATGATTAAGGACTGACTGAAGTGATATCCAATGTTATATGCTGAGTAGGTCCACTGAAATCAATGGGCATGTTAGTTAAGTTCATTGATTTCAGTGGGTCTGCTCAAAGTATGACTTAGCTGGATATCACCCTTTGTATGTTTTGCTTTTCAGTCTTAAAATATATTTATTGTCATTACAGATGGTGAGAGCAACAAATAAGAAAAGGCAGCGTTTGACAGAGGTCAAAGGAGAACTACTTAAGTATGTTCTCATCAGTTAAAATGTTTCATGAAATAACTTGAAATACATTTTAGATTTGTTTTAAGTTTTAGACATAGTCCAGAACACTTCTTATATTATTAAAGTCTAAAATGCTTTCTTATGATATACCTCTCATAAGCTCATTTGTGTATGCTTTTTTATATTCTGTAGTATTTTGTTTTATCATGAATCATAAATTCCACTTGTTTTTTGCAATTATCAATGTTGACAGAGAATAATTTTATTGTTAGAGCACTGTTCTCTTCTTTGTTAACATGCATTTCTAAACACAGAGAAGCTTCATAAACACAATTTGCGTCAACCTGTTTTCAAGGTGTGTTTTTTTTAAAGATGATTCTTCGTAGTCTCTGGAGTCACATGTGGGTTTTGTGCAAAAGCAACATTTTGGAAAATTCTAGAGCCTCCTCTCAAATGAGTGGAAGCAAGTGCCTTTCTGCCCAGGTCTTTTTCAACTGACAGCTGAGCAGCAGTGTTGGATACATGTTTATTCAGTCAACTCTAAACCATTTTCCTTAGCTTTTTGCTAGAAGTTTGTTGCCTTAGTAGTTACAACTTACACGTTAGTCCATTGCTGCTGATAATCTGTCACTGAGGCTGTCTCATGGATTTGAACTGTTTCAAGGTGTGTTGCTAACAGACTTTCGCTAGGTAACCAACTAGCCTATGCTGTGCTATCATTAGTCACTATGCTTTAGATCTTAGAGCCAGGAAATCTTTGGGGGAACAATCCTACAGGATTGCGTCCTCCAGGGAGGCCAGCTTGGTAAACTTCCATTTCTGCATCTACACACATAGCGTGAAGGAAGTCAGGTTGCTTACTTTAAACTGATGTTCTTTGAGTGGTCTTCTGTACAGTCACACATCTCTTTCTTGCTGTAGGCTCTTGGAAGCTCATCTTGAGGAGCTAGATGGAAAAGCACTGAGGCACGCAAATAGAGTGGGCTCTGTACCTTTGAAGGGAAGGACAAGTTCCAATGCCCATTCTATTGTATTTATTACTTTCTGTTTAATGCACTAAGGTAGCCTCGGGCTGAAGGGCTGTTTAGAAATTCAATCAATCAGTAATCTTTGGCTCAGGAGCTTCTTTAAAACATTGTTCTGTGGAAGTGAAGAACCCATGTGTGATTGAGCAGAAGATCACTTGAATGTTATCTACAGTTAACTACTTTTTAGCAGAGCTCATCAAGGCACAACGCTTACACATTTGTGTTTTGCAGAACTGAACCACAGCTAAAGAAACTGGAAAGAGAATATGCTGAACTAAAAGGAGAACTATCCACTCTCCGGAATGCAGTTCAGTTGGTGACTGATTTAAAGGATCTTAAACAAAAATATGTCAATGTCAGAAAGGAAAACCCACAAGAAAAAACAGTAGTAAGTACATGTTTGATGCCATATGCAGTATTTCATTACTTAGGTAGAGCAATTGCTGCTGTTGTTTTGGGCAGCTGGGTGGGTGGAAGAATCCATGGCAGAGAAACCACCCCAAACCCTGTTGTGCTCATTCTGAAAGGGTTTATTGTGGTGGTAACATTTAACCTCCCCCCTGCCCCAAATTCTGTGCTGCTCCAGCCTTTTCTTTTGTAGTTCCCTCCCATCCAGTGGGAGGGGAAAATTGGTATACCAGCTCCAGGAGTAGTGTATTCAATCATCTCTCAGCAATCCCAGTGGCATGCCAAGGGAAAGAAGGGGTTTGGATCCAGCAGATCCAAAGGCACCTGATCCACCCTTGGTGCTATTACTTTTTGGGCCTACAAAAGTGACACTGCCCACCTAGAGGGGGATCCAGTATATCCTATGGCCCCTGGAATGCCCTACCAGGCTACCACCCGATTTGACAAACCTGCTTCTGAATAGTCCCCAAACTACAGTGAGTGGTTGTTGTTGATCTGGGTGCAACTGCATGGGTGGGTGGGGCTGTGACTGGATTATTTCACAAAGTGTTTTAATACTGCCTTTCTTAAGAAACATTGTTTCCCCCCGTTTTCTTCTTTCATAGTATGGTGCCTCCAGCCTTCCTGCACTCCTGGTGGAATCACGAAGAATTTTAGGAGCTGAAAGCCACATTCGCCGTATCAACTCAAAATTACAACAGGTTTTAGATTCACAAATGAAGGACTAGACATATATACATATAATTTACACTTTACTGCCTAATGAATACCCTGCCATATTTTAAATACAACTACACAGCAGAGACCCATTGAAATTAATGAACATTACTAAGTTATGTCAATTAATTTTACTAGGTCTAATTGGACTAAAACATAGTTGAATGCCACCCCACTGACACCTCTAATAGAATTGTAGTTGAAGCAGGAAATTTGAAGATTAGTCCTTTTTTGAAGAGCTTTTTCTCAAGTGGCTGAACTATTCGTACTTTTAGTGTTGCTATCTGAACTCAGCATAAAAAGCAATAAATGCTTTTTAAAATTGCCAGTGAAGTTGGAGGCAAATAGGAAGTAGTGGGATAGGACAGAAAACTGAATACGAACAGGATAAACCTTGATAGTTTTTTAATGGCAAGCTTGAGAAGTGACCTCACTGCTTGCTGTCAAGCCCTAAGAACATCTGAACAGCAGCATGTTGGCTACCTGTGGCCCACGGGGTAGTATAAATTACATTAAGCGACTTTGTTTTCCATAACTAACATAATTAAAACATACCAGAGAAAAACACTCTAAAATGAAGCATGTGGCTTGTCCCCTCTTCTGTCAATCTCACACTCTGTGCAAAACAGTTAATATATGTGTAGTTGGACATGTATGTGAATTACACAAATCACTTTCTACACTATAACTTTATTCATTTGACTATTTAGCTGTACTAATCCATTTCTAGAATTAAGAGAGAGCATATTTCAGTAACTGGCATCTTGGTGGTTGCTAAGTTGTTTCAGCCCTGTAAGGGGTACTGTTTTTCGGTGTTTGAACTCTTGGGGCTAGCTAGCTGAAACCATCATGATTTCTCAAGTAAAAGCACATTGTTGGCTAGCTTGTCTGGCTATTGCCAACATAACTACCCTAGTGAATGCTTTTTATTTATTAAATTAGAGTTACTTTTTTGTTTCATCTCCTTTGTGTTTTCTTGAAACCTCTATTAGGAGTTCATCAGGTATTTCATCTGTACTCCAAGGCTGAAATGTTTCAGCAGCTTCAGCTAGTTCTATATCCTCAGCAGCTTCCAAAAAACAGATGTCATTTTCATTATCTCCTGTGATACTTGAGCTTTTCTTGGTGTTCAGCTCTCTATTTTCATGTGTTGCCGTTAAAGATTTTCCTTCTGTAAGGTCATGGTATGTGTTTGCTTTTTCTTCAATATTTCCATTTTCATCCATTATATACACATATTCTTCATCCTTTTAAAGCAAACAGTTATTTCAAAAGAAATAGTTATTTGAGGATTATAACTTTTAACCAGGTTTTAAAATATTTATATATTTCTTACAACCAGACACAAGTTTATTTTTTTGTTATTGTTACTACCATTGATTACTTGCCTTCTAAACCATTGTCTCAAGGCAATTTACAAATAATTAAAAACAGTTAAACGTGAGAAACAAAAAATGAATTTAAAACATTGTTTTCAGAAAGTGCAGACCGTGGGTGCCTGTTGTATTGTGAGAGAAATGCTATTCCACAGAACAGGGCCCCACTAACAACTCTGCTCTGAATTATTGTGGAATGGGCTTCTGAGATCTCTGGAACTTGCAGGAAAAACTCTCCCTCAGATGGCAGCAATCTACTGGGTGAATCTAAGGGACAGGGCAGTCTCACAAGTAACCTGGTCCTGAGCTGTTAGAGGGCCTTAAGTCATGCACCAATCAAAGTTGGTGGTTTTTATAAATTCAGTAGAGCACCATGTACTCCAACAAGTATTCATATACAGTAGCTGCAAACACTCTTAAATACTGCCTGGCTTTGGTGTTTAGAGGCATAAGCCAATAACTGTCTGCAGCTGCCCAACAATATATCATGGCTGTTAAAGAAGCTTTCCTTCCTCAGTGGGAGACTTTCTAACAAGTTGGCCTTTTAAAGATCCTAAATGCACAAAGCTAAGAGGCCACACATGCAAGTTCACTTGCAAATTAGTTACCAGATAGAAATTTCACATCATCCAACATCATCACTATTTTTCACTTGAGATGTTTCACATTCAACTTGAGTGTTCACAGATTAAATGATGTCACATATGTGCAGCAGCTCAGAGGCCTACTTTTTGTTAAGATAGTTAATCTATATGTTCAAAAATTGTTATAAAGAGGTGGTTGCCACCAGTGCTTTTTCTGGGGGTACGCATACCCCTAAACATTTTGTGAATCTAAGTTTGGCCTCATGGAGGGGCAGTATTTCAATATGAGTAGGAAAATGAAAGTACCCCTAAACATTTTTTTAGGGAAAAAAAGCCACCAATTCAAGTGGAAAGGGTGCTATTCCACATGGTCAAAGAGCTGTAGTGTAGCTCAGATATATTTTCAAAGTGGTAGATGAAAAGCTAGGAATTCCTTTATTAGGAGGTTAATAGAGGGCACTCTTGCAGTTTCTGGCCCAGCAGCATGACCCTATATTGCAGAGTTAGTCATCTGTTATTGCTGGTAAGAAAAAAGTTAAGACACACAACTCTGCTCAGACTTTACTAATTAGACAACAATATTTTTGCACCATACAGTGGTACCTTAGTTTAAGAACAGCTTCATTTTTTAACAACTTGGATTAAGAATGCTGCAATCTGGAAGTAGGTGTTTTTGTTTGTGAACTTTGCCTTGGAAGCAGAACATGTTCCGCTTCCTGTTGAGTGTGTTCCATTTGTAAATCGAGTCCCCCGCTGCTATGGGAAAGCAGGCCTTGGTTTAAGAACACTTATTTAAGAAGGGACTTCCGGAACGGATTAAGTCGGAAACCAAGGTACCTCTGTACTCTCTAACCTAGCTCATGATAGAGCAGGAGCATTCTACTTGCATTTTCATTAACAATACTTCTGCCAAAATAACACATGGAGAAGGTCTTATTACGAAGTTCTGGTTTCAGTGGGATGTACTTCCTAGCAGTTGGACAACTGTGCAGACTAAAGGAATTCAGTTAGATCAGGGATGGGCTTGCATGACTTTAATGAGAGAAACACAAGCAGTACTACAGTATTCACAACCCCAACTCACAATGAGTAATTTTCAATTCTATGGGCATATTGTACACAAATCGAGAGGAGTTATGCACTTGCACAACTTTAATAATGCAAGCCTATGACAACATCAACGGGACGCGGGTGGCGCTGTGGGTAAAAGCCTCAGCGCCTAGGGCTTGCCGATCGAAAGGTCGGCGGTTCGAATCCCCGCGGCGGGGTGCGCTCCCGTCGTTCGGTCCCAGCGCCTGCCAACCTAGCAGTTCGAAAGCACCCCCGGGTGCAAGTAGATAAATAGGGACCGCTTACAAGCGGGAAGGTAAACGGCGTTTCCGTGTGCGGCTCTGGCTCGCCAGAGCAGCGATGTCACGCTGGCCACGTGACCCGGAAGTGTCTCCGGACAGCGCTGGCCCACGGCCTATAGAGTGAGATGGGCGCACAACCCTAGAGTCTGGCAAGACTAGCCCGTACGGGCAGGGGTACCTTTACCTTTACCTATGACAACATCAAGACTGTGCTAATGAAATACTGGTTTTATTTTAAAAAGTAGGCCTAGAATTTTCTCTCATGTTTGCTCATTTTTCATCTACACAACTCATTTTCTAAACTACTGTTTGCTACAGAAATAGGTCTTGCCAGGATATAACCAAAGCATTTCAATATTGCACTGTGAGAAAAGCATACCTCTTTGAAAAGAAATGGGAGGCATACCTCAGCTGGTAGTGGAAAACCTGTTAAATACAAAGAGAGTTTATATTGAATTATAACCACTTAACATTAGTAGCTGTAATATTGTAGGTAATACAAAAAAGTACTCACATTCTGACTTGAAGTTTTCTGCTCTGCAAACAGGGTCATGGCATTTTTGATACCAATTCTCACTTTTCAAATCTATTACAATCCTTGAAATAATAGATTTAATAGTTTATGTAAGTTTCAGTCAATGAGAGTGAACTTAATTGCTCTATTTTATAGCCTTGCTACAGATAAATGCTTTGCAGAAAAGGTAATCCTAGTTTTATTAACCTATTGAACAAATTATTTTTAGGAAAATACCGAAGTATACATACATTATATTGTTACTTTTGTGAGCTCTGCCAATATTCATGCACCAGCGATACTTGGAGATGTCATATACAAGAAGTTGCTCAAGAGAAAAATAGTTCCATCTTCTTATGCCTGAAAAAAAAGAGATGTTCCACTTTGTAAACAACTTCATTATCTTTAGAAATACCACCTCTGCTTGGCCCAAAAATATTCCTTACCTCCTTGAACATTATCTTTATTGACCAAAAAGAGAACGAAGTTATCAATTTCTGGATAAGGTGAAAACTGATATCCTCCTATGGGGTCTATAAAAAATTACAAATGTTAATAACTTATTTTTCCATAGCACATACTAAGAAATAAAATATGAACACTGTTAGGAACAGAATTAGAACCTCATTGCCATGGTAAACAAAAGCAAAAAGCTCCATACCAAAACCATTTCTAGCTTGCCTGTCATAGTACACAAGCAATCACTGACAGATGATGCTAAAACTTGGCCAGGCAGCAGCAGGGCATAACAGAAACATAGCCATTGTTGCATCCACATTGCTTATGTCAATTGAGGCAGCAGGCAAAAACCTGTTCCAGGCTACAGCATTCTACTGTTGGCATAGCACTGGCCACCCACCCCTGGTTTGAGCTTTCAGTAGGCTACTGCCAGAGGCTGGAATAATGCTAGCATCACTCCACCAGTTGAGTCCAGTGGAGCTGCTCTGGGCTGGATGGAATAATGCAGCCCCCAGCTTCGCATATTAGAGGAATGGAGCCTGAAATGGTATGAACTTCACCTAAGAAAGCAGAATTCTGAGTCTCCTTCCCTCAAGTCTGCACTGAGAATGTAATAAAATCTAACGTGCTTTTCATATCTAGCCTAGTCATCATCAGCAATACAAATTAATCCTGCTGCACATTAATCCATTCTTTAAATTTCTGGTAACGTGACACTTCTGAAAATTTTTGGATTGTCTTTTGTTTTTTGTGTGTAATACACTGCAATGACCACTGACAAAAAGCGGTTCAATCAAATACTTGTCAGCAGCTTACACAATTTTTGAATTGTAGAGATTTGAAGTATTTACTGTGCATAACAATGTTTCAGGATAAACTTCTTCAGGAGCACAGCTAGACATAAATTTCACAATTCAAACATACTCATTTTCACAGCCACATGCTGAAATAAAAACATTTTGAAATTTTAAATGCCATAGCATCATTTCCATAACATGAATTAAAATTTATTTTAACACAATTACCCAGACAGCCATTAGAAACACTGCCGTCTAAATCCGTAGATTTTTCTTTTGCCTCCTTTGGGTTGTCACAGGACAAAATTTTTAAACTGTCTGAAAATCTGAGAAGAAACACAGGGGGGAGAATCTTAATACTTGCAGGATACAAGCATATTTTCCACAGCCACACATCTATAGCCACACTTTAAACCATGTTTTAAAAAAAGCTCATTATTTTCACTTACTTGGCTATATCAGTGCTTGGAGAAGCAATCACAAATCATGGATAAAATGACAGAGATAGAAAAAAGAAACAGGACAACAGGAAAAATTCTGCTTTATACCAACCACCTTCCAAGATTTATAGCCAGATGAGAGGGCAGCTCCTCAAGCCAAGAGGCTTAAACACAGCCCAATCTATCATGACTCTACAAGGCAACCTTGCTCCAAATCCTCCAGGATCCCAAGCAGAGGGGGACTAGCATACATAATAATCAGTCATTGCTATTGCAAGTGAAATAATGAACATCCTCAATAATCACTAAAAAGTATTAGGGAAATTAACATTTCAATAAAGTGATATTGTTACCTTACATTACAGATCAAAGAGGAAAGGAAATACTGCTCTTCTATACAAGAATTCTTTACTGGTTCAGGAACAAATCTGTTATCTTCAGCAATGTCCAAAACAACAGAGTTTCCTGCTTTTGATGACTTGTATAAGCGGAAGTTTCTGTTCTTTGTATATACTCCTAGAGAAAAAAGGTTATTGGCTGTATCTACAATTGCTTATGCTTTTTGGAATCAACAAAGCAATTCAACATTTAAATGTGTTTAAGGCCACCAATTTCAATCCATAAACTCTCTTGGAATGCAGCCCTTAACTTATCACTGAATACCTTTTTAACAACAGCTGGAATCTCACTAACAGGTTTTTTTGGGTGTTTTTGTATCTCAAATAAGATTTCCAACATGTGAGGGGATTAGAATGTAGAGTCCTGACATTACTTGTGTTTGTGGTGTCAGATGAAGTATGCTTGAAAATACGCAAACACCCTGAGCCAGAAAACACATATCAAGAGAAGGTAGACTTTATGCAGCAAATGTTGGCCCATGTCCCTGAATATCACATGTATAAATAAAGAATGACTGTGTTCTTAAAGTCCCTGACAGCTGTTCCTCATCTTCTCTTTTGGCACTCTTCACATGGGCGGAGAATTGCGCATACCCAGTCATACATACAACAGGACCAGATCAGGCCCACCATTTTTAGTATCAGTGTTAATCAGCACACACTGGACAAATTCACAATGAGTAATTTTGAAATTATCTCCGTAGTGAAATACGCAACCAATTGGCAAAAAGCTTCTTGAAGCATTAGTGTGCCACCTGTCTACCCTATGCTGTCAACCATGAAATACATACAAGGGCTATAGCAGGGGTGCTCAACATGGCGCCATCCTTTCATTGTCTGAGTACAGCATCTATCGTCCCCATCCACTAGCTATACTGACTGGGGCTCCTGGAAGTTGTAGCCTGACAATACCTAAAGGGCCCCCCAGCTACAGCAGATTTTCAGATATACCTGCCAGATCTCTTGTTAAGGCAGAAATAAAATGTTCCCAGGTTCTTCACATATGCAAAAATATTACCACAGAGTTGTGTATTAAATGTGCATTTATATTTACCAAGATCTACGAACAACTGCTTTTCTCCGTGTTTACCATTCACGATTAGAAAAGAAAGATCTGGATTTTCTTTCCATTGAGATGCACCATTTCCCAAAGAATTGTTTGCACTAAGTTGCCTACTATGAGACACATCCTTGGTGACAGTCTGGTTTTCAAGAGAGCTGGGCAAATCAGTGGCAGCTTTGCAACTCTGAGAACGAGAGACAACCACTGGAACCGTTGCATCTCTTTTCCTAGTTAAAAGAACAGCAGGTTGCAAAAATTTTCTTAAAAAGTTACCTAAAAAACAGAATGGGGAAATTTGAGAGATCAACAATAGGAAAGTTAAACAATCTAAGAATCAATATGCAATTGCTTGCCTAATAGGAAACAGTGAATCTTTATAAATTGGGGGGGAGGGGGGAGCCAAAACAGCAGGCACTGTACGAATTCCTTTTTCCAAGATTTTACTAACAGCTCATCCAGTTAGCTTCTCATGCTCCTGATCTGGTGGTTAGAATACAAACAAAAGCAGAGAAAGAACCCTATGACATTAGCTGGCATGCTGCATGAAGCTAGCAATACACAACCCACACCAAACCAGCAATGAGGGGAAGGGCACCAGTGCAGACAAGCAACTTGCACAATGAACCTCTGTAAGCTGGAAGTACTGAATCTGCGTGTTACTATTATTTACACTCTTTGTCCAAGGAGCTCAAGTTGGTTCTTCCAGAACATTTTATCCTCTTAACGATCCCTTGAGGTTGGTTAGACAGAGATAGTCTGGCCCACATTCAGTCAACTTCATGGCTGAGTGAGGATTTGAACCTGTCTTCCTGCTCCTAGTCAGACACTTTAACCAATGAAGCATGTGAGCCACACTTGCAAACTGACTGTATCTACAGCCCAACTTGTTAGATATATAAAAAAAATTTGATAATAATATAAATTCATATTCACTACTTTAAAATGGTTGCAAATCAATTTTGCATGCATTTGAAATAAATTGTGCTTACCTATATGAATATTATTCTTAAATGCAGCATTGTGGAGCAAAAATATTAAGTGGCAACTAAATTTTTCTTTGGTGCTGGAATCCAGATTCAAAACATCTTCAAGTGAACATTTTATTCCATAGTGTTCATCAATTTTTTTACAAATGAACTGAAAGACACAGTGAAATTCTCCCTTTATCATTTTGTCCCCTATTAATTATTAAGCTTGTTAATGGCTTATTATCCAATAAGTATCCACACGGCTTACAACATATTTTAAGCATTGCCATAAGTAAAAACATAAGATAATATAAACATATTTAAAAGATCTGATATGCAAAATCAACCGCACAAAAAATGGCTTCATTTCATAGCTTTTAGAAAAACTTAACACAGAAAATTTCAAATACAGCAAAATACAAGTAAGTATCTTTATGACTAAGATTTAACTTGGTATATGACTTTAAGCTCATTGACTCCACTGAAATTGGGCATTCTTAAGCCACAATACTTTGTGCTCTCTCTGTTACAGATTGGTTTGCTGCAGCTGTGCTGGTTAAACATAGTGAATGCTTTCATATGATCCTAACGAAGCCAAGCCATTTTCCCTCAGTCATGAAATTATTTTTCCCTGATACTACTTCCCAGGGGCTGTGCCCTGCTCACTCAACTCGCCAAGCCCTGCCATTCCCCTCTATGTGACTACCCTAGGGCACTCCCATATTCATGTCTCTTCCTCTCTCCTACAGTCATACTGTTCCGGAAGTCCGTTTGACTTCCAAAATGTTCGGAAACCAAAGCGCGGCTTCCAAATGGCTGCAGGAAGGCCCATTGGACGTTTGGCTTCCAAAAATAGTTCGCAAACTGGAACATTCACTTCCGGGTTTGTGGCGTTCAGGAGTCAAAATGTTCGAGAACTAAACTGTTCGAAAACCAAGGTACGACTATACTCTGTAACAATATCCTAGTGCAGTAACAGTATTTAAAAATATAGATATTTTATGTTTTCATTGATTACATAGTTGAGGAAAAGCCAAATAAATAGTCCCATCCAAGACATCTGGTAGAAAAAGCCCACCTCCAACTTAGGGGTACTTAGTTCTATATGTTGGTCATGGGGAGAGAGACAGTGGTCAATTTTCCCTTTAAGCCGCAGCCCTTTCTGTTTCATGGAATGCTGCTCAGGAGAAACCCCTGGGCTTTGGGAGCGAGTTTGCAAGGGGTACAGCAAGCAGGTGAGTGGGAGCCGAAAAGTCCCTGGGCATATGTAGTACATTACACATAGCCCTTTGATTGTTGGCCAGTCCATTTCAGATGGACTGATAGTCCCTTATACTGTGGCCAAAAAATGCCTTTTTGATCAAGCGACACTTCAAATGTTTTTGGCCTCATCCCCAGTCCTTCCTCTTTTACACAGCGCATGGGAAATCAACCACACTGTCCCTCTTCACACAGCTTCAGAAAGACTCAAACTTTCCACCTCTGTCAAAAGGGCACATCTTATGACTACGTACTGAAACAGAGACAGCTGCTATTTTCCCCAGTGTGCTCCAACTTTCATACCATCCACTAAACTTCTTTTTTGAAACTTTAAGACGAGGGACTCTTCTTTGGTAAAATAAAAGTATTATATGTTACTTGAAATTTCAAAGTACCAACATCAAAGTCTGCTCACACTACATTTTCTCACAATTGATACTACTACTTCTCAAGTGCTTAAGATTAGATATAAAGGTCATGACATGTCTTGCCCAATATCTTGCAGGATTAGATTTTAAACTAACAGATGATGGTGTAGCATTTGTTTGAATCACCAAAGAACAAGATTCTACTGCCTCCCTTGGTGGCTTATTTCATTGTTAAAATTCCATTATACCAAGCATATTCCCCGAATATTTTGCCTAAATCTATATTCCTTATTACTTTAATATTACCTCTATCAAGTCTGCTACCATCTGTTTCCCATCAGCTTCTTGATTAGCTGGTATGTAGAATTCCAAATCAAAGTAAAGTTTGCAAACAGCTTCTTCTGGAATAACCTCATAACAATGCATAAGGCTTGTTTCATTATATGTTCTAGATTAAAGGGAGAATCACAATAATTTATATTCATTGCAATTACAATTATCAGATTACACCAAATACTCCAAATTATTTTAAATAAAATCGTAGTTACTTTACATTGCTATTGCCTTGAATGCAGGAGATAACCTCTGTGAAATGCAAATAGAACCTTCTGAAAGGCCAAACAGAAAAGAACCCTTATTGTCTGGAAAAACCCATAGCAGCCTATTGATGAACACAGCTGTTTATCATCAAATTTGGAATAAGGAATTCTAAACTATAAAGAAATATATAGTTTGGGAACACTTTGAGTTATCACCTGCTCCAAAAATATGTCCCAGTTCTTTATGTGTATAGTTTTATAGAAAGCCACTACACTGTTGAAGAACACAAAAGCACAAAGATGTGCTGGCTGAGTAAAGCTGCCTAACTGTTGCAACGACCTTATTCCAGAAGTGAACTAATGTGGCAACAGATGTCAGGCGCTACACCAGCACTCAAGTTGATGAGTGAGGTCAAAGGTGCAAAAGATGCACCCACATATTATTATTTTTTAGTTTCCTTTTTGGAAGAAAAAGAAAATATACCCTTATTCTAATAAAAAGTTGAATGTTCTGTCACACTGGGGGGGGGCACAAATGAATATACAGTGGTACCTTGGTTCTTGAACGTAATTCGTTCCAGAAGTCCATTCGACTTCTGAAACGTTTGAAAAACAAGGTGTGGCTTCCAATTGGCCAGGCACCCCAGAAACAATAGCCAACAACCGCATTGGACGTTTGGCTTCCAAAAAACGTTCAAAAACCGGAAGACTTCCAGGTGCCGAAATGTTCAAGTACCAAGGCGTTCGAGAACCAAGGTTCGACTGCATAGGCTTGGTTCCAGGAGCATCCCAAGCAGAATTCCACTCAGGAGGTGCTCTGGTCAGCAAAGGAAGGAAAGCAGACTATTACAGAATCCCATTTCCCCTTCCAATCCTTAGTGCTCTCCAAAAATCTGCTTCACATGATTGGGTACCTACTGGGACACTGAAAAGGGATGCTAGGGGCTTTTGGGGAACTCAGCAAAAGTTCCACCTCACCTTGTCTTCTCTCAGTGTGATCCCACTGCTGGATCAAAGGTGTAAGGTAGGAGCCCTTCCATCTCCCAAAGGCAAAGTCTAGATTCAACTTCTAAATTGCAATGGCTGCAACCTTACACACATCTACATGGGGGTAAGTGCCATTTAACATAGGGGAACTTATTCAAAGTAAACACACAAAGGTTTGGGTTACATCAATATATGAACATAAATCATTCTGCGTACAGTATTTGTTTTTCAGATACTTGCCTATAATAAAACCAAAGCTCTGTGTATGTTGTCACAAGATAAATCCTTTGCTTGTTTTCTGCATTCTTTTCCAAAGCAAATACATGAACATCCTTTAAAAATTAAAAAAAAACCTCAATCAACAAATCATACTACCCAAAGCCAAGTCATTTCTCAATTATAAATGTGCTATAACAAAAACTTAACATGTGCAAGGCATATTGCTGGCAAAGCCACATTCTAATCATTAACCATCATACCTGTTTACAAGTTTTGGCAAAGTTAAATGCCTGAGTTTGCCGATGAAATAGCTTCCAAACTGGGGTTGCTTGCCATGGTTTGGACAACTGCGGTTTGTAGCGTGGACAGAGAGGCCGTCGTTTATACGAAGATGCTAGCTCCTCAATATCCTTTAGCCTTTCTTCCCATTTTCTCTTTGTCTGTTCTAAAGCAATCAAAATATCAAGTTTGTATTCAACCAAGAGTTCCATTTATAAATAACAAGCGAAGCTCATGATCATTTTCAGGGTAGTTATTATACAATATAGCCCAGAAGTTGGATGCAGGATCGACTCTTACTGTCTTCTTGAGAACCAGAGATAAAATTGTGGCATTGGTAAATGGGTGGTGCAAATAAGCAAAGAAGCATGCAAGTACAGTCTTAACCACTTCCAGAATCAATTGAAACCATTGACCAGTAAGACAAGGTGCTTGCTTATTTTGAAGCTTCAGCTTATCCTGTATCTTAAGAGACACTTGGGAAGTGCATAGATAGATATTTCACAGGCTAACTGGGTTGGTGGACATGCAAACGATATGTCTAGCATCAGCAGTACATTCAACAGAGGACACAACCCACTTCTTACAATTTATTTAGCAACTGGGTATTGATATTATTAGAAAGCTCAAACATACTGGGAAAGGTGCACATAGACCACAATTTCCACGTTAATATATACATTAAACAGGGATTCAGTCCTTTGCTGGTTGCTGCTCATGTATAAGACAGAAAGCTGGAGTACATAAACATGCACTTCTTAAAAATAGGGCTCCACTTGACACACCACTCTTAACACTAAATTGTTCAAAGTACCTTTTTTAATGTCAAGTCATTACATCCTTCAGCAAGCATGTTATATTCCACCAGAAAATCAGTTCTAAAGGTGGAAGTATTAATACACAATGATCATGAAACAGGACATTAGTCCAGTGATGCAAGCAAATATGTCTGGGTATACATATGGATCATGCCATTCTCAACATATATTCAGTCCAGTATCCTATGTTCTCAATCTGCATTTCCCACCTTATATTTCAGAATATGCACATATTTTTATTGGGTTGGATTCAAAGAATTTGGACCCAGCAGCTCTTCCACAAACAGAAGGGTCTTTTGCTGATTTCCTCTACTTGCAGCCCTAAAATCCTGTCCCAGAAAGTCCTCCAACCCTCTGAAGCAGATTTTTAAGGGGCACAGGAAAAATGAGGCACCAAGACCACCTAATTCCATGCGATGTCTCCTCACAGAATTCTGGAACGAACCACTAGTGTCAACTGAATCAAATAAATTATTCTGCATCAGCAGTGATTTTATCTGCAATAAGTTTTAATCATGCTTAATACTGCAAAGTTTAATGTGATAAACCAGCAAGTTTAATATTCGTAGACGCGGAGAAAGCCTTCGATAATGTGATTTGGGAATTTATGTTGAAAAATTTGGAGGTCATGGAAGTGGGTCACGAATTTTTTAATGGTATTGAAGCAATTTATACAGAACAGAAAGCAAGGTTGATTATAAATAACATCATTACGGAAGATATTAAAATATCTAAAGGAACAAGGCAGGGCTGTCCGCTTTCGCCATTGCTATTTATAGTGGTTCTGGAAGTTTTACTAAATGCAATAAGACAAAATAAGCAAATTAAAGGGGTGACGTTAGGTATAAATGAATATAAAGTTAAAGCCTTCGCGGACGATGTGGTGGTGACTCTGGAAGAACCCATAGAAAGTACAAAAGAAATTCTGGAAGAGATGGAACAATTTGGAAAACTGGCAGGATTTAGATTGAATAAGAGGAAGACCAAAATGATAGTTAAAAACATGGACCAAGATAAAATTGAATTATTAAAACAACAAACGGAGATTGAGGTAGTCAAAAAGGTTAAATACTTGGGAATTTGGCTCTCGGATAAGAATATAGATTTATACCAACATAATTATATCCCTATGTGGAAAGGAATAAAGAGGGATTTGGAGGTGTGGAATAGACTGAAATTATCACTATGGGGAAGAATTTCAATGGTAAAAATGATGGTGCTCCCTAAGTTGTTATTTTTATTTCAAACTATACCCATATTAAAAGGTACCAAAATTTTCGGGGAATGGCAGAAGGCGATCTCAAAATATGTCTGGGAAGGTAAGAAGCCTAGAATTAAATTTAAGTTATTGACAGATGCAAAGGAGAGAGGAGGCTTCGCCCTACCAGACATGAGATTGTATTACGAGGCAGCATGTTTGTGTTGGTTGAAAGAATGGGTGAAATTGGAAAACAAGGAATTATTGGATTTGGAGGGGTATAATAATAGGTTTGGGTGGCACGCGTACTTATGGTGTGACAAAAAGAGGGTACATAAGGGATTTGGAAATCACATTTTCAGAGGAGCACTAATAGAGGTTTGGGATAGATATAAAAATATACTAGAACCAAAAGTCCCACATTGGCTATCTCCATTAGAAATAATGTATGCTAAGACAATCAACATGAGAGGAAAGTGGGGAACATATGGAGAAATGGTCACTAACGAAGGAGGGAAGTGGAAAATGAAACCATACGACCAAGTTAAAGCACTAACATATGATTGGCTAAGTTACTTTCAGATAAATGGAATGTTTAAAAAAGAGCTGAAAGAAAGGGGGTATGCAGAAAAAGAATCAACCTTCCAAAAGGAGATAATAAATAACGAGTTCAAAAATCTATCAAAGATGTATAAAATAATGTTAGAGTGGTACACGAAGGATGAGGAGGTGAAGTCAGTGATGGTTCAGTGGGCAAGGGACTTAGGATACAATATTCAATTGGAGGATTGGGAAAAGTTGTGGAAAGAGAACATAAAATTTACGGCCTGCACGTTATTGAAGGAAAATATGATGAAAATGCTCTACAGATGGTACCTGTCACCAGTAAAATTGGGAAAGATGTATAAGGTAGACAACAAATGCTGGAAATGCAAAAACAAAGAAGGGACGTTCTTCCACCAGTGGTGGGAGTGTAAGAAAGTCAAAAGCTTCTGGGATGAAATCTATAATGAGATGAAAAAGATGTTAAGGTATACCTTTGTGAAAAAGCCAGAGGCTTTCTTACTAGGTATTATAGGGAAGGATATCAGAAGAAAAGATTGTAAACTTTTCCAGTACGCGGTGACAGCTGCTAGAATCGTATTGGCTCAGAGGTGGAAGCAGGAGGAAATCCCAAAGGTAGAAGACTGGAGAGCAAAACTAATAGAATATGCGGAATTGGATAAATTAACAGGGAAAATTAGATATACTAAAGACCAAAAATTTATAAAAGACTGGGAGAAATTTGTGTGTTATCTGGAAAATAATTATGATGTAAATATAACGCTGGCGGGGTTTAAAGAGGCTTTGTAAAGAATTTATGAATATTGTTTAATAAAAAGAATGAGGAAAAGAGATGTAAATGGCAATATGAAAGAATGGAATGTGTACTAAAAGGATAACTATGAAAGAATGTCAGTGACGTTGAAGGAAGTCTAAAATGGATATGATTTGTTGTATAATGGATAAAATGTATAATGAGTTGGAATTCAATAAAATCATAAAAGAGAAAAAAAAAATACTGCAAAGTTTAATGTAAATATTTTCAGAACTTGGAATAGTGGACTTACTGGTGCTCATGATACCTTTCTTGCCGAGAAGTAATCAGTCTTTATCCTACTTTGAGACAGCAAACACACTGAGGGGAAAATACCTGTAAAAACGTAGACTATTAATATGTTGAATATGAGAAGTGGTTAATTTCCTTCATAAGTGTAAATCACCCCGTGGTTGAGCTAACTGCAGCTGCAAAACAGCCAAGCCAGTTGCTATGATAAAGACCCAGTGCTCCAACTATATCTGCGATTAACACATGTCAGCTCAGTAGTAGAGTCTGTTAGCTGTCCAGTGCTACGTTCTGAATTGCTGGACTTATTTAGAGCAATGGAGATACTTTGTATTTGTATAGTACACATTTGTATAGTGCACATATAGTACATTGTACACATACGCTGTGTACTGGGGCCCAAAATCCACTTGGCACCCAGACCAAATGCAAAGGAAATGCAAATAGGCCTCCCCCCCCCACACGCGCGCACACACACACACACACACACACAGGGTTGCAGGTTCCTATAAGCCAGATCTTTCCAAACTTTTCATGTTGGTGACACTCTGTTTAGACATGCATCATTTCGCGACACAGTAGTTCAGTTTCGCGTCATTTCGCGCCACAGTAGTTCAATTTCGCATCATTTCGTGACACAGTAATTCAGTTTTACTAGCAAACCGGAGGTTAAACTAACCCCTTTCCAGCCCCGGGAGGAGCATGCGGAGCGTTTGCACGACACCCTGCAGCCGACACACTAATGCATGGGTAGGCAACCTAAGGCCTGGGGGCCGTATCTGGCCCAATCGCCTTCTAAATCCAGCCCGCAGACGGTCGGGGAATCAGCGTGTTTTTACATGAGTGGAATGTGTCCTTTTATTTAAAATACATCTCTGGGTTATTTGTGGGGCCTGCCTGGTGTTTTTACATACCTACTAACAGGTATCTAAAGCCATTTGCACGTAACAAAATATGTATTTTATCAAAGCAATTGTTGAACTGAAATACAATTAAGAAGTATATTCATAGTGAAATTGGGGAGGGGCAAGAGAGTGGGGCCCTAAGCTATAGCTTGTTTAGTTTATACGTCAATCCGGCACTGATGGGGGGTGAAGCGCATCGCAGCTGCCCCCCTACCTACCTCTAAGCAGAGAGCGTGGGAAGGAGAGCAGCTGCAGCCCCGCAGCCGCTTCCAAAGAGGAGTGGCTTTGCGCGCGCAAAAGAGGGAGCCGACGGGCGGTTTCCCGCGCTTTCCATTGGACAAACTTCCTTGTTGCTGGGGCCGTCGCCGTTGCTAGGGCAGCTTCCTCTCCTTCTTCCTTTCCTCCTCCTCCTCCTCTTGGGGCGGGGCTGAGGGGTGGGAGACGGAGCGAAGGAGCAAAGTGCGGAGGAAAGAGGGAGCGCGCTCCGCCAGGCACTTGGGTCCAAAGAGGGAAACGGGCAGCCGCAGCAGCACCGGAGAAGGAGGAGGCGGAGGCGTCCGAGGTCAGTAGCCCGCGGCCCGCCCAGGCTGCTTTTTCTCCCCCCTCAAGGAAGCCAGCCAGCCAGCCTGCAGGCGCCCTCCCCGCCCGGCGTGGCGCTCCTTGTTTTGATAGCAGGAAGCGCGCGGGGAAAGCAGACGGCAAAGGTAACACAAAGAAAAGTTTCTCTGCGGGAAACTGTTGCTTCCCCAGCCGAGCCCCACCCGCGTGGGAAGCCCGGTCCCCGCCCGCCTTCCCACGCCCCCCCCCCAGCCTCTCTCCTGCTCGGCTTTTCCCCTTGCCCAGCAGCCCCTGTTGCAGCTGCTAGGCGCCATAGTTGCTTATTGTTCCGACTTCTTTCCGTCCCAGCGCATCTGAGGCGCGGATCACGGATGCCCTCGAGCCTTTTATTTAGGAACCAGGCGAGGAGCTGGCAGGTCTGAATCCAGCGCAGTGTTCGCTGAGCTGCAAACAAGAGGGGACCCGCTCTCTTTTCTTTTCTTTTCTTTTCTTTTTTTTACAGAGCGGAAGCAGACCGAGAGATCTTATTTCAGCAGCATGCAGCAAGTTTTCTCTGAACCCACCCCCCACACATGTGGCTTGGTGGTAGAGCTGAGAAATCTCCCCTTCACTGTCTGTCGTTTTTGTTCTAATATGCTTTCAGCTCATCAGACATGTGGCATCCTTCTGTGACTGGATATGAAAGAATTAGTGAAGTAGTGCTTAAAAAAACAAACACCACTCCCCAAATACCCATTAGTACAGTATGCTAGTTTCTGCAGAAGGGAAGGAATATAATCTTGTTTGTGAGTACCAAAGCAGGGGATGGTAGCTGCTAAACTACTTTAGTTTAACTTGAATCACAATTAAAATTGTGATAATTGTGTATGCTGCACTTGGATTGAACAATAGCCCAATGGCAGTACTTGGCATATCGAAAGGGTTGCTTAATAATGCCATCTTGTCTGTTTCTGTAGTTAGCAATCTTGCCAGTTTTAAAACCTGAGTTTTTCCTGTCATAGGTTTTGCTTGGAGACCAAGATGGGAACATAGTAATTTATCACCCTTCCACCAAAGACTTCATGGCAGCATTACCCATGAACTAATCCTCACTCAAATGGCTTAGATTAATATATGAAATTATGCTGTCAGTCTTAACAAAAAATTACTACAACAGTATCTGGAAAACGTTGCCAGTCTTGCAGGAATGCTTTAGATTTCCCTTGAAATTGGTGTTTTGCCTGAGGAGGAATTTTTGAATTTCATTTTGAACAAAATCTGGTGATAATTATTACCCAAGGAAGAACTACCAAAATCAATATGATTTTGGCTTTATGTAAAATTTCAGTGGTAACTTAAGAATTAGTCAGTTGGCCTGTGGATGGAGAAATTGGAAAGCTTGAGACTAAAGCAGTTGAATATTAATGTGAACTCTCACCAATCATAAAGCAGCAGCACCTTTTTTCTCAAAAAAGGAGGAAAACAAAGTCCATGAGAGTCAAAAGATTATTTTCCAACAAAGGAAAACATTGTTGTCTTAATGTCATCAGCACTAACCGCTCTGTACTAGAAACTAAACTTTATTCGGAATTAACCTTGTCAGTTTTCCAAGGAGGAATGACACACTATGGCGCTATACTGACAGTTGCAGATAGGTGCCTAGATCTTTTCAGCCTTGTGCAATTCATTGTATCTTCCTGTTAAAAGTGAAAATAAGAGTGTATGGATTGATAAACAAGGTTAAAGAGAAGTACAGTTTTCACAATAATAGACTAGCTATAGCTAGTTTTGCTTATCTATGTTCTCAGTCAAGTCTATGAAATTTGTCACTAGTGTCAAGAGCTCCAGAAAACATTTTCCATATTTATAATGTTTGTGGCTAAGTCAACATAAACAGATATATGTAGAAATAAAGCTCGTTAGGAGCAATTGACATGTGAAAACGTGCAGATCAATTTAGGTTGCATCTAGATGGCAGTTTCCTTTTGTGATTATTGCATCAAGTAGCAAATGGTAGAAAAGGCACCATAGCCAACAACTAGTGAAAGGGCTTTTATGTGATCCTAGCAGTTCAAAAGCACCCCCGGGTGCAAGTAGATAAATAGGGACCGCTTACCTGGCGGGAAGGTAAACGGCGTTCCGTGTGCTGCGCTGGCTCGCCAGATGCAGCTTGTCACGCTGGCCACGTGACCCGGAAGTGTCTCCGGACAGCGCTGGCTCCCGGCCTATAGAGTGAGATGAGCGCACAACCCTAGAGTCTGGCAAGATTGGCCCGTACGGGCAGGGGTACCTTTACCTTTTTAGTAGCCACTTTTATCATAGACTTTCACAGCAACACATTTTGAGCAGATCCCATTGCAACAACTTCGGATTACGGGAATGTCTTCTGAGCCTACCATGTCAGTGGTGAGCAGGACCAGAGGCAAAAAATAGATGGAGCAATGAAAGTGACTCTTATCTTTGCACGGTTGGCTTCATTCCAGCCACATTAAAGTCAGAAAGGTGTGTATACACACACCTATAGGCTGGGTTTGAGCCCCACATTGGACGAAAGATTCCTGCATTGCAGTTGGCTGGACTAGATGATCCTCATGGTCCCTTCCAACTGTAGAATTTCATGATTCTATAATGATCCCACGTGTAATGGGTAAAAAGACCAATCATGTTAGCTGTATTGTTACTGACTTTTCCTAGAAGCCTCATAACTTTATGTGCCCTTTAAAATGTTTCTTACCTAAGGGAGGAGGAACTTCAAAGCAGAATATCTGTTAACTTTCCTAGAAGCCTTTCTTTCATCCTTTGTAGAATGAGATCATCCTCCCCAGAGAGATGTATATTCTGCTTGACAGAATATGACATCAATGCATTAGCTAACCGAGATGAGGTAATGCTTTAGTACTCCGGTGAAGCTAGCTAGTAACTGTGTTGTCCTCCCAAGAGCTTCGATGCTTCAGTACGTTAGCATTGGTGTTGTGGAAAAGAAACAAACCGTCAGTGACAGAGCATATGTCTGACTGCACAAAATCAAAACAGATGTCTGCTGATGGATGGGTCTTTTTGTGGCCAAGTTGCTTAATTTTAACAGACTGTTGATTTTCAGGTACGGTGGTACCTTGGGTTAAGTACAGTGGTGCCTCGCAAGACGAAAAGAATCCGTTCCGTGATTCTCTTCGTCTAGCGGTATTTTCGTCTTGCGAAGCAACCCCATTGGCGGCTAAACGGATTAGCGCTATTAGCGATTTAGCGCTATTAGCGGCTTAGCGGGCTTAGCGGCTAAGCTGTTAAAAGGCTATTAACAGCTTAGCGGCTTTGAAAAAGGGGGGGAGCGGGGGGGAAATGGCGAGACTTGCAAGACGTTTTCGTCTTGCAAAGCAAGCCCATAGGGAAATTCGTCTTGCGAAGCGCCTCCGCGACGGAAAACCCTTTCGTCTTGCGGGTTTTTCGTCTTGCAAGGCATTCGTCTTGCGGGGCACCACTGTACTTAATTTGTTCCGGAGGTCCGTACTTAACCTGAAACTGTTCTTAACCTGAAGCACCACTTTAGCTAATGGGGCCTCCTGCTGCTGCCGTGCCGCCGGAGCCCAATTTCTGTTCTTATCCTGAAGCAAAGTTCTTAACCTGAAGCACTATTTCTGGGTTAGCGGAGTGTGTAACCTGAAGCGTATGTAACCTGAAGCGTATGTAACCCGAGGTACCACTGTATAAAGTTATTTTTGAAGCAGTATTTTTTTACCCTGTATTTGACTTTAAACCTGAACAGGTAGCCAAGTGTTGTAAATTGCTATAAACTACCCGTTTGCATTTCCCCTTAGTGGGTTTATTAAAAATGCCTAGCTTTCAGCTAAATTTATGCTCCTTCTGAATAATTATGCCTCAGTATTGTATTCTCCTTGTCTGAGGGAAGTTGGGGGCAGCTCATTTTTAATTTTTCTTTATCTGTTCTCTTGATACATGGGAGGCCACAATTTTATTTTCCAGAAGCTTTGCTTTCTCCTTGCATTGATTGGCATTAAAAAATTCTGATGATAACACTTTATCCTTTGTTTACAGAAACAACTATGGCAGACATAAACCATATTATGAAATCCTCACAAACTGTGACAGATGCAAAAAAAATCCCTGGTTCTGAAGGGTAAGTGGGGATTTTGGCTATTGGTGTTGGTTGGTTCTTTGTGGTGGTCTTTTTCTTCTCTTCTAGCCACTGTAGGCTTCGGCTTTAGTTTAGATCTCCCTCAAAATATATGGAGTGTCCACCCCATAATATACCCATTCCTCCCATGGGCCTGGCACCAACTGATGGTGAGTTGTGACTCCTCCTTGCCATTAGCCATTATCCTACATGGAAAGACAAGGCAAGCAAACAGCAGTGAAAATGCAGCAACTCCCTGGACTTAATCTTATGTAAAAATGAGAGGAAAATACAAGAAAGGTACAGTGGTGCCTCGCAAGACAAAATTAATTCGTTCCGCAAGTCTCTTCGTCTTGCGAGTTTTTCGTCTTGCGATGCACGGTTTCCCATAGGAATGCATTGAAAATCAATTAATGCGTTCCTAGGGAAACCGACTTCAGACCAGGTCCGGGGACAGTCTGTCCCCCGACCTCTTCTGAAGGCTGGGGGGGGGACAAGGGCTTTTCTTCCCACCCCCAGCATTTTAAAAAACCCCGGGACAGCGGAGGACGTCTCCGCTGTCCGGGGCGATCTTAAAATGCTGACGGGCGGCATTTTAAAATCACCCGGGACAGCGGAGGACTTCTCCGCTGTCCGGGGCGATTTAAAAGCCCCTGGGAAGGCAGGCAGGGGGGACAAAGACTTTCGCCCCCGCCAGCCTTCAGAAGAGGTCCTGGACCTCTTCTGAAGGCTGGCGGGGGGCGAAAGTCTTTGCTCCCCCGCCTGCCTTCAAAAGCTGTCCGGCCCAGGCTTCGCGGACCTCTCCGCAAGCAGCGGCAGCGCTGCCGCTGCTTGCGGACAGGTGCCAGCATGCCGAAGCCTGCGCGCGCTGAGATCAGCGCGCCCAGGCTTCCCGCCCCGCCTCCCGGCATCGGGGCATCGTCCCAATGCCGGCGGCGGCAGAGGCGTCCCCCCCCCGCCGCCCGGGATCGGGGCATCATCCCGATGGCGGGCGGCGGGGGGAGGCGTTCCCGCCCCCCGCCGCCGGGATCGGGGCATCGTCCCGATGGCGGGCGGCGGAGGAGGCGTTCCCCCCCCGCCGCCGGGATCGGGGCATCGTCCCAATGGCGGGCGGCGGAGGAGGCATTCCCCCCCCCGCCGCCCGGGATCGGGGCATCGTCCCGATGGCGGGCGGCGGAGGAGGCATTCCCCCCCCGCCGCCCGGGATCGGGGCATCGTCCCGATGGCGGGCGGCGGAGGAGGCTTTCCCCCCCCGGCCGCCGATCGGGGCATCGTCCGATGGCGGGCGGCGGCGGAGGCGTTCCCCCCCCCCCGCCGCCCGGGATCGGGGCATCGCCCGATGGCGGCGGCGGAGGAGGCTTCCCCCCCGAGCCGCCCGGGATCGGGCACGTCCCGATGGCGGGCGGCGGGTGGGAGGCGTTCCTGCCCCGCCCGCCCGGACGCATCGTCCGATGGCGGGCGGCGCGGAGGCGTTCCCCCCCCCGCGCCCGGGATCGGGGCATCGTCCCGATGGCGGGCGGAGGCGTCCCCCCCCCGCCTGGCATCGGGGCATCGTTCCGAAGCCCGGCGGCGGCGGGAGGAGGTGTCCCCGCCCCGCCACCAGGCTTCGGAGGAGGTCCAAGGACAGCGGGGAAGACGCGCTGCGCTTCCCCGCTGTCCCGGAGATTTCCCTATGGGCTGTCGTCTTGCGAAGCAAGCCCATAGGGAAATTCGTTTTGCGAAGCGCCTCCAAAACGGAAAACCCTTTCGTCTAGCGGGTTTTCCGTCTTGCGAGGCGTTCGTCTTGCGAGGTACCACTGTACCAATCTTAGGAATGCCACTTGAATAAGTTGAGAAAGGCAAGTAATCAAGAAAACAAGTGTATTAAACAACTAGGACTCTGATTTTTAATTCATAATGCATTGATGGAGTAATCATTGAAGGAAATGCAGATGAGCTCTCAATTACAGTGGTACCTCAGGTTACATACACTTCAGGTTACAGACTCCGCTAACACATAAATAGTACCTTCGGGTTAAGAACTTTGCTTCAGGATGAGAACAGAAATCGTGCTCCGGTGGCGTGGCAGCAGCAGGAGGCCCCATTAGCTAAAGTGGTGCTTCTGGTTAAGAACAGTTTCAGGTAAAGTACAGACCTCCGGAACAAATTAAGTACTTAACCCGAGGTACCACTGTAATCGCAAGTAATCAGTGGATTTTATTCAGTGTAGCACTAATGAGACCATTCCTACATCACATTCTCCCCTCATCTCCCACACATGCTGTTCTGGAGGTTGTCCCCTATCTCAGAGCATATTTGCAGAAGGAGAAGGGGAAGTCCTGTTGTGTTGGCTTCTGCTTGCACAGCCATGTCATAGCATCATAGAATTGTAGAATCAGAAGGGATCCCAAGGGTAATCTAGTTCAAACCTTTGCAATTCAGGAATCACAGCTTATTAGCTGAATATGTCCCAGTATGTTTTGGTGTTAGGACTATTAGTTGCTCTTGTAACTAGAAGATTGCTCCAAAGAAAAAGCATACACAGGAGATGTGCTCATGTACAGTTGTACCTTGGTTGACAAACTTAATCTGTTCACGGAGTCCATTCGACTCCTGAAACTTTTCAAAAACCAAGGCATGGCTTCTGATTGGCTGCAGGACCTTCTTGCACTCAATCAGAAGCTGTGTTGGACATTCGGCTTCAGAAAAACGTTTGCAAACCAGAACACTCACTTCTGGGTTTGTGGCGTTCAGGAGCCAAAGCATCCGAGTACCAAGGCGTTTGACAACCAAGGTACAACTATAATCAGCTATGTGCCAAAGCAACTTGTTTTCAGAGACCTTGCCTGCCCTTTTGTATTGTTGTGCTTCATATTTTATTGTAAAATCCATGCATAATGAGGTCTGTAAGAGAGACTATGCGAATAAATTCACAGAATTAAGGCTAAAAACTCTTGTAACTTTAGTCATTTTGAGATCTGTTCATAGGATCCTCACTTGGTGTATACTGGTTTCTTCACCATCCCACTTTTAAAAAGCACTCAAAAGCTTATTTTTAAAATTCACTTGTACTTTTCAAGGACTACTGTTGTTCCTCTCAGATTTAATACAAAAACAACTAGAGCCAATTTGATCCCCTCTTACGTGGTTTATATTGCATAGCTATGATGTTAGACCCTATTCCTGTGACTATAATCTGTTTTAATTCTGAATCTTAAATTGCTGTAACCTGCCCAGGGATATGTTGTTGAAGGGCAGTTAACACATTAACTAATAATAACGATAATAGCAGTATTGCTGTATAGAAGGTGAATACAAAATGCTCAATGGAGGTCTTGCAGTCATAAAACCTCTTTTGAGCTTCTTGTGTGAAAAATCTTTGCACATTTCTCTCATTCTTCCTACTATGGTTCTGTCATATTTATTTCATCCCAAACATCTTGAATGCAGCTCAGCAGTGCAGGGGAGAGTTTACATCTCATTAATCTATTTCATGTGCTCAAAGGATCAGATCTGTTCTCTAATAGTACAGTGGTACCTCGGGTTAAGTACTTAATTCGTTCCGGAGGTCTGTTCTTAACCTGAAACTGTTCTTAACCTGAAGACCACTTTAGCTAATGGGGCCTCCCGCTGCCGCCGCGCTGCCAGAGCACGATCTCTGTTCTTAACCTGAAGCACTATTTCTGGGTTAGCGGAGTGTGTAACCTGAAGCGTATGTAACCTGAAGTGTATGTAACCCGAGGTACCACTGTAATAAAAACATGAAATATTTTCTTTGTTCCATTGTATTTATTTAATAGTGGATATTTGAGGGAACTGTTTATAACTAGGTTGTTGTTGTTTTGCTATCAATTTCTCATTCAGCATTAACATTCATGCTGTTCTGAACTTGTGCAAAATCCAAAAGATATCAAATTTGCAGTATAATTGTATACATGCAAACTCATAAGTCCTTTTGAATTCACTTGGACTTATTCATAGGCAAATGTGTGTAGGATTGTAGCCTCAGTCTGCTTTTTAAATTCAGGATTAGAAAATTAAAAATTTGAGAGAGAGAGTTTAGTTTTACATTGTGTTTTATTTTTTCCTTAGGAAGAGCATACCTATTAGCAAATCTGTGGACTCTGTGATACCGGCAGATGAGAGTTACAGAATGGATCACCCTGAAATGGGAATGTGTCTTTTAGTCAACAATAAAAACTTCCATCCAGCTACTGGTAATTTAAAATAAAAAAAAAACTTTCTCCCCCTGCCGGTCAGGCTTCCCTCCCTGTAACCTGCTTTAAACTGTCAAAAGTGAAATATATCTACTGCTTAGTCTTTTTCAAAGTTGGCTGTTGTATGCTCAAGGATGTCCGTAAGTTCAAACATGCCTAAATCTGCATAGGAGACAGCTGTTGGTCTTAATATCAGGAGAGAGGAACTTGTGGCCTCCCAGATGTTGGCCTCCCAACTTCCATCAGCCCCAGGCAGCATGACCATTTGTCAGAGACGATGGGAGTTTTAGTCTCAAAACATGTGGAGGGCCACAGATTTCCAACACCCCTTTTAAATAGCAACACTATGCTTTAAGCACACAGTTGGGTGACTTCATGACACCTAAATAAAGCCTGACAATATTGTTCCTTTTCCTCCCAAGCTAGATACAATCGTACCTTAGATCCCAAACGCCCTGCGGGTCTAATGTTTTGGCTCCCAAACGCCGCAAACCCGGAAGTGAGTGTTCCAGTTTGCGAACGTTTTTTGGAACCCGAGTATCTGATGGGGCTTCCGTGGCTTCTGATTGGCTGCAGGAGCTTCCTGGAGCCAATCAGAAGCCATGCTTTTGTTTCCGAACGTTTTGAAAGTCGAACGGACTTCCGGAAGGGATTCCGTTCAGCTTCCGAGGTACGACTGTACAAGGTTTCTTCTATACATGTTTTATTTATATACAAAGTCGGTCCTTCCATTGATCAGCGGGTGATGCCAAGTTCAATTGTTCATCTGCAATAAAACCAGTGCACCCATTGTTTCCATTCTTTCTGTGTTTACAGGGTGGAATGTCTTCCATAAATCCTGATATATTTCATATAGGAACAAGTCTTCAGGCTCCAGCTGGGCTTTCCCATATTTTATTTTCATATAACTGAGCAGAATTTGCCTGTGGCATACACTGTTTTCAAAAATTAAGTCAACGCAACTTCTTTTCTTTTCTTTTCTATCTAAAGGGATGGCATATCGATCTGGTACAGATGCAGATGCTGCACATGTTGTAGACACGTTCAGGACCTTGGGGTACACAGTCAAGCCTTATAATGATCTTACATGTAAGCAGATTATTGAAGTTTTGCATAATGGTAAGTAGTGATTTGGCGGATGATGTATTGCCTGTTGTGCCAAAATATAAAATATAAACTCTTGGGTTTTTGTGTTGTCCGCTCTTCTTAGCAATGAGGAACTTTGATATTAAATAATAAGTAGAACACCTGGTGTGGCAGAAGGGTTAAGGGTCCCTTTGTGTAGCAGCAGGCTGCATGCGCACCACTGAGTAGGAGGATCTGAAAGCATAGATTACCATCAAAAAGTCTGCTCTGACAGTCTTAAGTCATCTGTTGGAAATGGGCAAGTCTAGATACAGTCCCCTCAACAGCTGGAGATCAGAATTGACCACCTTGAGGGAATGCATATGTGGACCAGGTCCATCATGGAACAATGTGTTTGCAGGCCCAGCAACAAGGTTTGGAAGTTGTGCCCCAGGTACTGAATACAATCCACCTCCGTGTCTGCTTTCATGAACTCTCCTTAGGTTAAGATTTTAAAATTATATTTTAATTTTGCTTAAGCCTTAAGCAGTGTAATTGGTATTTCTAACCTGGATAACTTCAGAGTCTGAATTGGCAACTAAAAATATTCCTTCCTGATTAGGAATGTCGTCAAGATATATATTCTTCACTCAGGAAAATATTTCAGTCTAGACACTAAGCTCATTCTAGAATAGAAGCCACTTTCATTCCTGATTTTGTTACCCTTTCATTTGTCGGACCCAACTTTCTTTAAACGTTTCCACTTATAAAGCTCTCCTCCAATACTATTTGCTTTAATAAGATTCTTTTCAATATTCATTTATCTAATAAGCCTGCTAATAACTGCTGTCACTGCCTTCTACCTATAAAAAGGATTATATGGCATATCAGCAGGATTTATCTTTCAGATATTAGTATGGCAAGAGCAGGGCAACGTTGGGGAGAATGTAACTGCATTCAAGCCTAAGGTAGCCTTACAGTTGCCACAAATTCATAGGAACGTTAAATTATCCTGTTACTATGCTGCTTATCCCAAAGAAGCTATATGATCGACAATGCTTGTCTCACTTTGTCTATTTGTTCGTTTGAGGGAAGCATTATTGTGCTTGAAGTTTTGCTATTGCCTAAAACTTTCTTGCTGAAAAAATGTCAAATGAGTATTTGGAATTTCTGAAGACTTAAACAATGTTTTCCCTCCACCTGGGTTTTTTGAAGCTGCCAAGGATGATCACAACAAGAGAAGCAGTTTTGTTTGTGTCTTATTAAGCCATGGAGAGGATGGACTCATCTATGGTACAGATGGTCCTCTGGAGCTAAAAATGTTAACAAGTCTCTTCAGAGGAGACAGATGCAAGTCCTTGGCAGGAAAGCCAAAGCTCTTCTTTATTCAGGTAATTGTGCAAAATTCAGCAGATGACAATACTGTGAAGACTTTTATTTTAGAAAACAAAAAAATGTGTCCTAAAGATAAGAAAAGAAAATGTTATGTCTGCATTATACTATAAGCATAAGATCTATGGTTACATTTCTGGGAATATAAAATATATCCAGTTTCTGGTAGTGTTAATTTTTTGCTTTCTAGCAGTGTTAACATTTCAGTTTCCATACCATTCCTACTGCTCAGAGAGCATAGCAGCAATCTAAAAAAACAAATTAAAAATGGAATTAGATACCTTCTCTTCCTTAAAACTGGCCATTGACAACCAAAAGGAAAATCTTAACAGTGATTTTAGAAAATGCACAAGCTAGGATCATAGTTGTTGGGGCAGCTGCTTAGAATTCTTCTCTAAGTTGCCTTGCTTTTTTTGAATATGGTAAACAGATGGAAAACAAGAGAACTGCCCCAAACGCCATGATCCCTGTTCATTTTCATTAGGAAATGAGATCAGTATGTCAGTTTTGTATTTTTCATTTAATTTTAGGTCTCCTACAGAATAATGCATTAATAATGAGAACACATTACTTTATGCCAGGCTTCCTCAACCTTGGCCCTCCAGATGTTTTGAGACTAGAATTCCCATCATCCCTGACCACTGGTCCTGCTAGGTAGGGATCATGTGAGTTGTAGGCCAAAAACGTCTGGAGGGCCGAGGTTGAGGAAGCCTGCTTTATACTAATTAGTAAAAGCTTGTCTACCTGGACATCCTTCGGAAACATTAGCTAATGTCTCTAAACCATAACCAGTTCAAAAAAGCATTTCTTACTGTTTCAGTTTAGGTTGGTTGTTGTCTCACCTATGACCACAGTTTTAGCAGAGTGCTCTAAAAGTGCTGTCAACTTCTTCTCTGACTCAGAACGGCTTTTCCATGTCACAAAACTGCAAAGTTCAACTTGAAACTCATACCTCATCAAGATTAGCATACCTCCCCTTTCAAGATGTGCATAAATGAGTTCTCTATTCCTTGTTTGTGTTCATTTGTATCCGACTGTTGCCATTTCAGCAAGCCAATAGTGGTAATATTTCTGGCTAGCATTTACTCTTCTGTCTTCCTTTGCGTAGGCTTGTAGAGGAACAGACCTTGATTCTGGTATTGAAACAGACAGTGGCACGGATGAAAGCACATGTCAGAAAATACCTGTAGAAGCCGACTTCCTATATGCCTATTCAACTGCTCCTGGTAAGATAAATGAATAAAAGATGCAACCTTTTGCTCAAAATACATAGATGGCTTTATAACTTTTTATTTAATGCATCTCCTAGTCCAGGAGTCAGCAAACTTTTTCAGCAGGGGGCCGGTCCACTGTCCCTCAGACCTTGTGGGGGGGCCGGACTATAAGGCCCCCCCTCTGCACGACTCTCCCCTCCCTTCTCCACAGCAGTGGATAAGCCCCGGTGGCTGCTTACCTGTGTCTTGCGAGCGGCAGGGGCTGGCGGCGGCGGAGGGACGATGAGCGGTGCACAAAAGGGCTCTGGAGAGGGGCTGCTTAAAATGGCGGGCCGCTTGAGCACTGCTGCTGCTGGCATCAATAAAGCCCAGCCCCCTTCCTCCTCTAGGCAGGGTGGGGAGAAGCCGGGAGGGAGGAGGAGGAGGCGGCAGCACCGTGTAAGGGAGAGGGAAAGAACACGCGCACTGACGATCCACGCGGCGATTCCCGGATTCTCTGCGGGCCGGATCCAGAAGGCAATTGGGCCTGATCCGGCCCACGGGCCTTAGTTTGCCGACCCATGTCCTAGTCCAGCAAAAGTGCCTGAATACTTCTCCCTCCTTTTGTAAAACCATTTCATGTACAAAAATGTTACTGGCCCATCAACCAGCATGCACTAGCCATGTATGAAGATGTTTTTTTAATCTCAACACTTCTCTTGGGGAATATTTGAGACTAAGGGGTGGTAGGCTTAACAGCAGGACAAATAAAAGTGGAATGAGATGAATGTGAAGCCCTTTACTAAACTGAATGAACACCCTTGTTCTGGGGCAAAGTTATCTAGTTGTGGTGGGGTGATTGTGACCTTAATCAGTTTAATAAAAGTAAGATTCCTGCATTGCATGGACTAGATGATCCCGGGGTCCCTCCCAATTCTGATTCTCAAACATGATTAGCTTTTGTAGTCTCATTTTGAAGAACATTATATTTTATTCAATTCATTTTTTTTCTTATAGGCTACTACTCTTGGAGGAACTCATCAGATGGCTCCTGGTTTATACAGTCACTGTGCGGGATGCTGAAACAGCATGCTACAAAACTTGAACTTATGCAGATTCTGACACGTGTAAATCGCAAGGTTGCAGAATTCAGTTCTTATTCAAACAGACCAGACTTCCACGGAAAGAAGCAGATCCCTTGTATTGTGTCTATGCTCACAAAAGATTTTTATTTTCCTCACTAGCTTCCTACACTGTGATGTGAAAGCTAGCAGAAGAGCACTAGCGTTTTATATCATTTTTAACTCTTGACCCGATGTCCAGTCTCTAATACATAGGTTGTATTGAAATGTTATGACCTATGGAATGGATTACTACAATCAATAGAATAGTGGGATCACTTGCTAGTTCGGAAATTCTAGTTTGGAAAATGAAAATATATGTAGATTTGCAGTTATGCTCTAACCTCCATGCTAAAATAGATTGAAGGAAGAGATCAACTATTTCTGTCAAAATAAAGTATCAGTTACCGCAGACGGAAGAGCAATAAAAGGTTACTTTTAGTTAACTTTGGTAACTGTTGCAGCCCAATCTTGGGGTTATTTATGAAAGCAAACTGTTGATAGAAATGGTATTTCCTCCCAAGTCAATACCATTAGAATTGGAGAAATTAATGTCATGACACAAGAGTGCAGTTTTTCAATATGGCGTAAGGACTAAACTATTATCTTTCATATACAATCATGTAGCACAATCAAACTTGTGAGGTAGTTCTTCAGCCTTTTAGAAATGGCTATATGAAATGCTTTTTGAGCCTTTTCAAAGCTTTTTGACCACTATAGAATACCTTAATTTTTTTTTGTTTTTTTTTTAAAAGAGGTGCTTCTTTTCTAATAGATGGCAAATGGTTCTTGGAACGCTGATCCTTACTGGATCCAGGCCTTAAAGCAGTTTTGCATGCTTACATTCACATTTCAGTTTAGGCAGGAGTGTTGTGCAAGTGGTAGTTTGTGAAGAGTATAAATTCAGCCTGCTCCTAAACACATTTTTGTGGTTCTTAGTTTTATTTATATATTCTATTTGATGATAAGAAGTATATGAAAAATGCATGTCCCATTTCCCAATCCTGATTCTGATTCCTTTTTTAAAAAGCAGCATGTTTAAAAATACTAAGACTTAGAAGCAAGTATGTAAAATAGAAGTTCATCTTCAGCTCGAAGTAAAATATTTCTTCGGCCCTTTCTAACATGCAGATTCTTAACTACTTTCTTCATACAACTTTGTGTCCTGCCCGCATTGGCTCATTCTTAGCATTCTTGACATGGCTCTTACAAGTCTGGGCTACGTGTCCCTGGTGACCTGTCCTTCCTTCCCCCTTTTTTTGAAGGTTGCTTCTATTTTCAGCTTATTACTCAGCTTTTTGTGCAGCTACATTGTCCTTATTATTTTTTTAAGACATCTGCCATTTTTCTTTCTCATCTGGAATCGTTAGTGATTGTGTCCTTAGTAACTCCTTTTTTAAAAAAAACAAAACAAAACCCAACTTGTGCCTGTCTGGGGCTCTTTCCCCTAGTACTATATCTAGCTATGGAATCCCACCTAGTATTTCTCAGATACCATGAAAAACATATTTCCTGAAATGAAAGGTTCAAGTTTTGCTACACTTTCTTCCACCTTTCCATATGTAATGTCATCATTACGTACAGTAGTTACTTTCCCCCCTGAAGTTCTCACCACTTCCCTGCTGGTTAAGATCTAGTCAAGAATAGCCAACCCCTCGCTGCTTCCTCCACATTGTGAAAGAGATGGTTTTCAGCAAGGCATGTCAGAAATTTGTTGCATGATCTGTGCTTAGCAGAGTTTGTATTCCCACAGATACCAGGGCATTTGAAGCTTTATTGCTTCTTTGAAACATCTGTAATTTGTTTCAGGACATGTTTCCCCAATCTTCCTTGGTATTGCAGTCTGTAGTATACTCCAACCATGATGTTTTGCTTCTCTTCTTTTTACCCAGGGCTTCCCACAGGGACTATCATGATCACTATCTGGGATTACTTTCTAGGTGTGCACATTTGATAGGTAATGCTATTCACCCTCCTTCACTCAATATGAACTTCTGTAGATTTCAAGTAGGCTTACAAATAAGTAAGTACAGGCAACATGGTAGTTCATAATTTATGCTAAACCATGGTTTTGCACAACACGCACAAGCAGGTTCAGTGAGCCTTGTTTTTGCAAGCACTCCCTTTGCCCTCTTCACACATGGTCAGGAGGAAGAGTTTAGAAGCTTTTGCTTCCATTTTCAGTTAATGGGTTTGTTGCATCACTGAATTGGCAACCTGTAGCTAATGTTACTTATGCCAACTTTCAAACCATGGGTTACTAAGCTAGCTTGCATTAAACTATTCGTAGTTCACAGTGGCGTAGCGTGGGGGGTGCAGGGGGGGCCGGCCGCACCGGGCGCAACATCTGGGGTTAGGGCAAATCCACAGGTTAGGGGGGCAAATCCATGGGTTAGGGGGCGCAAATCCACGGGTTAGGGGGTGCAAATCCACGGGTTAGGGGGCGCAAATTACTTGCCTTGCCCCGGGTGCTGACAACCCACGCTACACCACTGGTAGTTCATGTCAAACACAATTCTGGGTCTAGATGGCACAGCAAACCGCAGCTAACTAAAAGTGGAAGAAAAAGCATCTGAGCTCCTCTGCCATGCAGGGAGCATATGAGCCAAGGCTTGCTGTGCCTGTGCATGTTGTGCTCAATATTAACATGATAGTGAATGTCTTCAGGCATGGATAAAAGCTTGTGTTAGTGAACTTGTGATGCTTGCAATACTCGGAGAAATTATTGTGAGTGTAACTGAGATAGCTGTGCATGTTTCGGGTTGAGACCTTTCATCTTGATCCAGATGGGAGATAATGTGCAGAAATAGGTTCTGCATGCATGTAAGATTTGCCAACAGCAAAATAGGAAATGGGAGCAAGTGGGACATTATACAGCATTCACTGGTGTATGTGCATATCATGGCTCTTTGGAATAGAGTCGCAGATCCACACTTCAATGTTTCTTGAAGTTTTGGTGTCCTTATTCAGCCATGGGGGCTCCTGGATTTGATCTATCCACCTACTCACCACCTGCTAAATAACTCTGAGCTTTGAGAAGCAAGCACAGCAGTGTGCTTCAAATGGCATAATATGCAATAGTTTCTATACATTTGAACTTATCGTCAGCTAAATAAATCAGTTAATTTATTCAGAAGAGTTGACTATGTCTCTTGCTTAGAGGCATGAATCTTTTAAAAAGAATAATACAGAGCAATATCTGAAACTACCCATCATTGAAAACAAGATTTTTGGCAAAGGTTTAAATTATTAGATATGATTAATTTATGCGTGTGACTGTGACTATCTTAACTCCTGTATGAAAACCTAATAAACCATGTGCATTGTTTAACCAGCTTTGGTTACTTTTTTATTTTAAAAAACCTAGACATTTAGAACGTCTTACAAGTTCCAGTTTCTCGGTCCTGTTTAAAGTGTATAGATAATCATATTAACCCACATAGAAAAAAAAATATTCTACAGGTAAAGTTTAAAGAACACTTGCCAAATACAGGTGTGAGCTATTAACAGCAATACAACCTCCATTTCGGGCAATGAGTTGGCCTCAAAAGTATTGTTCCTCTTTAATGTCACTCTGCCTATAATTTAGTGTGGCAAAAGAGACATTGTTCACGTGTCATGTTAAACCATAGCTTAAACAGTGGTTAAGACAAACAGGCAGCATGCAGTAAATTCTCAACTTTGCTTCTTCCCCACTTGTGGCCATGACAGGACCAACGAGTGGAACTCAACAAAATATTTGTACTAACTCAAGGATTAGTGCTTGTGCAAGAAACAGGATCCCCCCCCCTTCTCTCCTCACATGCATCCTGTGCCATCCCCATATCTGCTCCTGGAAAGTTGGGAGAACCCCCCCCCCAAAAAAATGGATACAGTACAGGGAGTGTACAGAGAGAGTAGAGGGGGAGAATGTTCCATTAGTAAAGGGTAAAGGGACCCCTGACCATTAGGTCCAGTCGTGGCCGACTCTGGGGTTGCGGCGCTCATCTTGCTTTATTGGCCAAGGGAGCCGGCGTACAGCTTCTGGGTCATGTGGCCAGCATGACTAAGCCGCTTCTGGCGAACCAGAGCAGTGCACAGAAACGCCATTTACCTTCCTGCTGGAGCGGTACCTATTTATCTACTTGCACTTTGACGTGCTTTCGAACTGCTAGGTTGTCAGGAGCAAGGACTGAGCAACAGGAGCTCACCCCATCACAGGGATTTGAACCGCGGCAAGTCGTCCTAGGCTCTGTGGTTTAACCCACAGCGCCACCCATACGTTGATGGAATGTTCACTTTAGCACTATGCTGAAGGCAATCTAATATAAAAAAAACTGCTCAAAACAAATAGTCACAACAACAGGGTGTGTCCTAAAATATAATTCTCAAGTATCAAAGGCAAAGTCTACCTCATCCATCCCAAAATTGCCTCCAGACACCAATTAAGGAGTTCTGGGTTAAACCACAGAGCCTAGGACTTGCCGATCAGAAGGTTGGTGGTTCGAATCCCCGTGACGGGGTGAGCTCCCGTTGCTTGGTCCCAGCTCCTGCCCACCTAGCAGTTCGAAAGCACCTCAAAGTGTAAGTAGATAAATAGGTACCGCTCCGGCGGGAAGGTAAACGGCGTTTCTGTGCACTGCTCTGGTTTGCCAGAAGCAGCTTAGTCCTGCTGGCCACATGACCCGGAAGCTGTAAGCCGGGTCCCTCGCCAATAAAGCGAGATGAGTGCCACAACCCCAGAGTTGGCCACGACTGGACCTAATGGTCAGGGGTCCCTTTACCTTTTTACAACCTCCCTTCAGTACAGATCCCCAAATGACTTCTCCAAGGAGTCTTCTAAGTGTCCTTATGTCCTGAAGAATCAACCAAGATTTCACACAGTATCCATTTTAAGTATAATGGCAACTTTGATTTTACTTCTTAATCTGGTCTCTTTGCAGTGCAATCCTATGAATTCTGAAGTCCCACCATGTTGGATGTTTATTCCCTGCCAGTATGTGTGCTGAGGACTGCAGGCTAGAATTGTGTATGAAAGCTGATTTCACACAATACTGCCCATATTAATGGTACATGCTGCAAGGCTGCAGCAACGTTGGCTATAGCGCCCACCAGATGCATTTATTTACTTGATGTGTGACATAATCCTGGAATCCAGATGTAAGTGAAGGTAAACCCAACTAAAATACTTTCATTTACTTTTGCTAGTACAACGACTGGAATTTACATGGCTTTGATAAAAATATTATGTATACCTGGGACAGGGGTCTCTTCTTTCCGGGGTTATGCTGTAAAACTCCCTATAGACGGATGGTTTTATAGAAATAACACCAGCAATAGTCCAAAGGAATTTCACTGTACAGTACTATATCATCTCAATCCAGACTACAGTGGTACCTCTACTTACATTCACCTCCAGTTACATCTCCTTTGGGATACGTAAGCGGGTTTCGCCACACACGCATGCGCAGAAGCACTCTACTATGCTGCGCACATGCGCAGAAGTGGTCCCTCCGGTTGTGGAAACCTCAGGATCCGACCAGAGCTCCGGAAAGGATCCCATCCACAACCGGAGGTACCACTGTATTATAATGTGCTATGTGGGCATGAGATCATTGCCACAGGGTGTCACTAGAGATAATGAAATAATTTGCCAAGGCTGAAAGCTGCTCAGGAGTATCTGATGTAAAACCAGAAGAACCCAACAAATCCTGTTTGAAGTATCATCTAGAATATATACTTGCTTGGGAATAAGTCCTACAGA